ATATATTCATACTCCAACACTGTATAGGAAACTCTTCTGAGCTCAGCTGAGGAAAGCGATTACATATATTCCTACTCCAACACTGTATAGGAAACTCTTCTGAGCTCAGCTGAGGAAAGCGATTACATATATTCCTACTCCAACACTGTATAGGAAACTCTTCTGAGCTCAGCTGAGGAAAGCGAACATATATTCCTACTCCAACACTGTATAGGAAACTCTCCTGAGGTCAGCTGAGGAAAGCGATTACATATATTCCTACTCCAACACTGTATAGGAAACTCTCCTGAGCTCAGCTGAGGAAAGCGAATATATATTCCTCGTACTCCAACACTGGTCGTAGATATCGCATGTGGAGGAAAGGGCACTATAAAGGCTCCAAGGACTTACCACTCGTTGTTGACATCGATCGCTTTCTAGCGGAGCAATTCCCTCATCAATGGGAAAAATTCACGGAAGGACTCAAAAAGGTGGGATTGTCCTTTTTTGAAAATTTTCCGGATTTTTTCCCTCCCAACCAGACGCCGGGAGCATCGGATCCTCTAACACCAGCAGTTAGATCTTTGGTGAAAGCAACAGCACGGAGCTCTCCCGCGGGTGGTCATTCGAGGAAGCCCTCCATAGGGTCTGATGGGAAACGAGGCTCTGCTGATATCGAGGATGTGGTGACGGGTATGAGGAGGTGAGCGTTGAGGAAATGCAAGATTGCAAGATTTAGATATGAGACCGGCTAGTGTGGCCTTCCCTGATAAGCGGGCTGGGTTCAAGTTGTATTCCCGACGGAATCCGACGATTTCGCGCGCCCCGAAATCGAGAGTGCTTGATTGGGAGGAAATATACAGCAAGAAGCCGCATAGATCGAGACTGTGGGTTCGAACCCTGGTGAGCGCATTTTTTAATGTAATTAATTAGATATGACCAGTTGCTGACGACTCAGACTGCTAGATGTATGGACTGTGGCACGCCGACTTGTCACTATCCCAATACGGGAGGAGGAGGATGTCCGTTGGGAAATCGCATACCAACATTTAATCAACTCGTATATGAAGGGCAGTGGAAATTGGCTTTGGATCGTCTGCTTGATACGAATAACTTCCCGGTGAGCAACTTGAAGTGTCGAAGAATATATGTTGGATTTTCTTAGTTGAGCTCGGGAATGTTTCACACAAGAATTTGGGTATAAGAATTCTCCTCAGAATTTTCATATTATTCAATAACGCATGTGGTTTATCATGTGCAGATTTTCCTTGTATGCTGGAAGATTTTTCCATGAACGAAATTTCCCTTCACAGGATGCTAAAAAACGAAGAGAATTTTAATTTCTCTCATTGGTAGAATATTGGAGTTTCACCATCCGTGTAACGTGAAGTGGCGTTATACTCGGTGAAAAAGGCGATATTCGTGGTGATATGCAATAGTCGTGAAATATGTTTTTTCATATCACTAGGGTTGTGAAACTCCAATGTTTTAGGAGTTCACCGGAACCGCATGCCCAGCACCATGCGAAGAAGCATGTGTGCTTAGTATCAACGAGCCGCCCGTTACTATTAAAAGTGTCGAATTGGCGATTATCGAACATGCCTTTCAAAAAGGTTGGATACAGCCGATGCCGCCTCTCACGAGGTGGGGAAAAGCGTCACGCGCCACGAAATTAAATAGTTGATTTTAGAACGTACAAGACGGTTGCGATCGTGGGCAGCGGACCTGCGGGGTTGGTCGCGGCGGCTCAGCTGAATAAGGCTGGACACAGCGTAAGTCAGTTGAATTTTTCGATGAAAATTGGTATGAAATTTGCCGAAAATCTTGAGAGGGGGTTTGTGATTTTCTATAGTAGAACAGATTTCGAGTAGGAATTTTTGCGTACTGTGGTACACTTTTTTCAGGGTCAAATTCAGGAAGTGAAAAAATCGAAATCAGGAGAGTGAAATTTGACTCTAGTAGGGTGGAAGTTCAGAATCGTAAATGAAATATATGAATTCTGACAGAAAAAAGGACTTTGCTTGGCTTGTGGTCAGGTGACTGTCTTCGAGAGGGCCGATCGAATCGGCGGTTTGTTGGTGTATGGGATTCCGAATATGAAGTTGGATAAGATCGATAAAGTGCAGAGGAGAGTTGAGATACTCCAACAGGAGGGAATCGAGTTTAAGACAGGTTGGTTTTGTGATTTGTGGATGTTCTCGCGGGCAGGGGAAAATATTTTTTTTATTTTTGCCAGAATGAAATTTATGGAAAACAAAGAAGAAACACAAAAAGAAAGTTTTCGGAATAAATGACATGAAAAAACTTATTGGGGGGATTTGATCTCACGACCTTTCGGTTGTCAGTCTGTTGATGTACTCGTTGCCCAATTTGCAGATATCGAAATCGGCGTGGAGCCCTTTACCCTATCATCACTACGGGCTGGCTATGATGCTGTGCTTTTGGCCACTGGAGCTACCCAGTCTCGAGACACACTAACGAGGATACCGGGTCGACAGTTGAAGGGCATTTATCAGGTGTTTCCATGAAATGCTCGCGGAGCATAACTTGGCGGTTTTCCCTCTCGCGTTCTTTACATGATTGATCTCTGATATTTTTTTGATACTAGATATGTAAGTATATGTTGATGTCGTGGTACGTCGTTTCTCATCTGACTAGGCCGAATTGTCGTAGGCGTTGGATTTTGAACTCCCCTACATACTTGTTGCTGGTGAAGGGATCAGCTTAGTCTGTTGAATATACCCTGATGTCAGTAATGCTGTGAGAATATATAAATTATGGTATGTATTAGTAATGGAGTTTCACAATAGTGATATGAAAAACAAAATTTACAACTACTGCAGGCCGCGAATATCGCGTTTTTCACCGAGTGTCACGCCACTTCACGTAAAACGGGTCGTGAAACTCCAATATAAAATGAATAGTAAGGTAACAGTATTTGGTAT